ATGTTTCACTTCTAGCTTTTGCATAACAAGAAGATCCCATATGGTCATTGTATCAATTCTGCTAGACCCTACATACAGCTGCTCAATTTATCTCTGCATTAAAATGCCAAAACAAATATGTTATTGAGCCACAGACTCTCTCCCATCTGAAAGATTATTTGTTATTGCTTGAATCCAAATAAGGCTCTGGACTTTTGTAGCTTGTGTAGAGGCAGGAGGCCACATACCTCTCTACAAGTTCAACCTTGTGTCCAAAGTTGAAATACAATGACACTCAAATCCACCAGGGTTTCAAGTCTCACCGAAGCAAGCAAAGTGGAAATAAGCAAACAAAACTAGCAGAAACTTTTTTATGCCCTCTAGAACAAATAGACAACTAATAGATGTCAACATTAATTGTTTCTTCATCATATTGTGCTATAGAACTCATTGTAACTAAAGAAATTGTTGAATTCAGATATGTTGCAAAAAAACCATTTAAACCTCCTTGGCTTGATATCCCATAGCCAACATATCTAGTGAAATCCCCGTGTAGACACAAATTTTGAAGCGTAAAGGGTGTGTTTGGTTTGGTTTGGTTTGGTTTGGTTTTGGGAGATAAATTTTCAAAAAAAAATTTGGGGAAAAAGTTTAGAAATTTTTTTGGTTGTATATTTTGAAAATAGTTTTGGAGTGTGGGAGTTTGGGATGATTTGATATTTTGTTGTAGTTGAGTAGATGTATATCAGAGAAAAAGTGATTGAGAAGAAGAGAGGAGAGAGAAAAAATGATTGATTAGAAAGTGATTTTGGAATTTTTTTTTTCGAAAATCACTAAACCAAATAAAATTTTAGAAAATTTTCTCAAAAATTTGTTTCTCAAAAACAAACCGAACAAAACCAAAGTGTTTCAACACATTTCAAAACTCATGTTACAAATGCCCACTATCTAGTTTTTTGGACTAAATAGTGTTTATTATTTGAATAGGAGGTTCTTATTTCCGATCTGTATTCCAGATCGTTAATTACATATTTTATTTAAATGAAACCTCCGATTAACGAAGAACAAAATAAATAATAGAAGACAATTTAAGAAAAATAAATATTTTATTGAAATTGTTATGGGTTTTGAACCCTTGAATACAAAGTACAATTCTTGGGCTTGGAACCCTTTACCTATTCATCTCCAATCTGCATTTGTAGCGTAGGCTCTTGAGTTTTCTAGATTTCTTTTCTTCTTTCTTGTAACGACTTCTTTAGCTCTTGATTTTTTTTCTCTCTCTCTCTCTGATCTTCTCCCTTCTAATTTTTTGATCCCTTCTCTTGTGTGATGGTCTTCATATTTATAGAGGGTCATCTAGGTGATAAGAGTGCCTCATCCTCAATTTGAATTTCAAATTGAATGATAGCGCCATTTGAATTTTGAATTAAGTGATAATGTCTTTTGAATTTAGGCATAATCACATTCGATTAATTGTATATCTGATTAATTGTATTGATTATTTGTATTTCATCCTGTATGGTGTCCTTGCTGTAAACTCTACAGGTGTCATCTTTCGTAGGCTCCACGTGTCATTTGTGTATTTTAAACTACGTCTTGAGACACGACGTCATTTTATTTATGCACTTCAACGGATCATATTGATCTTTTTAAGAAGTGATTATCTACAACATTCCTATCATATACGTGTCATTAATTGATTGACCGTATTTGAAACTTTAACATAAACTTGGTTGAAATTTATGTGCCAACACCTTGAAATCTGAATTTTTTCGTTTTCTTTAATTCCCAATTCAATGATGCTTGAACATTTGTCATTTTTCATTGATGAACTGTCAGATTTAGGAATCTTCTATTTAGGTACAATCTCAAGTTTTCATACCCAGATATGGAACATCTACTTTTAATTTCCCCAATTCTACTACCACCACCACATTCTTCTCATTTGTATACGACCCATCATCTGAACTGTTGTGGCTGTTGTTGCTAGAAATCCGCCCATCCAAAGACTTGTCCATCATAAGATTCTTCCTCATACCCAGCATACTTGATACAATGATTCTTTCTGTCATAATCTTTGTAGGCTTCAATGCATCATCAATTTGGATAATAATTCCCTTGTTTTTAGCTCTCTTTTGAATCGTCACTTTTTTATAATCACTATCTTCATCATTCCTACTTAAAACATCGTCTTCTAATTCCTTTGCTTCATTGCAATACATATTTGGATCCACATTGAAAATCAAGAAGTGTCTAAGAATTAAGTGTTTGATTACCAGCACTTCCATCAAAAATCAATTCTTACCATGAGATTTGATCTCAGAATTGGTGCTCCAATTGCTCATCTTTTGTAGTAAGCTAAACCAATGGTTTGATCCATGGTATAGGGCTGGAACCTTTGCACACCAGCCTTGATTTCATATGTAAGTCCATTAATGAAGCACTTTATTAAGAATTCTTCAGGCACATTCTGGGTTGTGTCAACTATTTCTGGATCGAAGGACTTGAAAGTCCTTGTCCTTTTATTCCTTCTTGGGTCATCTAATTCCTACGTGATCATTATCACTAACAACTTCATCAGTTTGCTTCACGGAACTTGGATCCTCTACGTGGGTACGATAAGGAAATACGTCTTCAAAGAAAGACGCATTTCTTGACTTCATGATGATATTCTTGTGTATATTTGAAATATCAAAATTGTGCACAAGAAACCGATATGCACTCCTATTCTGTGTATAACCAATGAATATACAATCCATGGATTTCGGGCCTATCCTAACCCACTTGGTTGTAACCGCCATTTTTGCAAGACATCCCCACATTCGTAAGAATTTATATGAAGGCTTGGGGCATTTCAATAATTCATATGGGGTCTCATTAAATAATTATATTACTCTATGCCAAACCTATGAATCACTTGACCAATTTATTTGTTAAATCTATAGATTTTGTTTGTGTAATTTTAGTTGATCGCATGTTAGACTTATATTACAATTTTATGAATATACAAATTATAGCTTGTCTAGTTTTTTTAAGGCTAAAACTTTGTCTAATCAAGTATAAAAATAATAACTTATCTTATGTCATAACTCTCACGTAAAAAATGAATTAGGATTGGCTTGTGAATGTATAATTGGTCTAGACATTAACAATGACTTAGAAATTAGTTGACTCAACCTTTACGCCAATTTAATTATAGCCTAATCATTAAATAATTATATTACTCTATGCCAAACCTATGAATCACTTGACCAATTTATTTGTTAAATCGGTAAATAGATATCTGTTAATATTTTGATAATCAAAATTAGAATTATGTACATATTTATTTAAAAATTTAAATTGGGTTTAAAGATTTATGTTAAAACTATTAAATGAACAATTAATTATATTTATGTATGAAAAAACTATATAAGATCAGGATTTTATTCAAGTTTTATGTTCAAATTCAAGGAATAAGAAAATTTTAAATATATATTAGTGTGTCTATTAAATCTAAAAACCAACTAACTATTGTAATTTAATATCTACACAAATAGTAAATTATTATATACATTATGAAATTATTAGGTTTTATTTAATTTGCCCATGACGATCATCAAAATTTATTTCTTGGATTTTTTTTTTACAAACACATGGAGTTCTGTTTGCCACAAAATTGGATAACATTGGAGGTTGTTGATGCTGGCATGTGCATCACTTAGGCATATGAGATCTTTGATCCTTGAACCTTGCAGTTGTGTTGGGCACCTTCTTGCCAAGTTGTGCACCTTAGGCAACACTTAACAACCTTGTTTCATGTCTTGTATAACCTAAGCTGAGGTGTGTTACACCTAGGGCAAGTATTACCCCTCCTAGCTGAGGTCAAGGAGACCTTACCTGTCCGAAGCCTATGTTTTGATCCAGGATCCTTGCCTTCTCAGAAGTACCCATGCCACCTTATTTGTTGTATATACTTTGACCTACTCTTGTCCTTTCATTCTGACACCTTTTGAGGAGACATAACCAGATGATGCCACGTGTCCCAGTAGTGGGTTTAAGTCAGTCAGCTGTTGGAAACCCATATCTTTTGTCATTTCTTTGTCTTGAAGAGTGAGAAGCTCTAGGAAGAAGAAGAGGAAGTTCTTGGAGGAAGTTAGATTTTTCAAGCTTGATTCTTAGACTTTGAACCATTTGATTTGTGTTTTGAGGTTAGATTTTTGATCTACTTTTGTTGTTCTTTTTGTTTATCTAATCACATTGTATGATCTAGCATGATTCATGAGCTATGCATTGATTTAAAGTTTTGTTTTAGAGAAAGAAAGTGATGTTCTTGTGTTCTTGAAGAAAAATTTTGTTTTGATCTAAAAGTTTGTATCAAGTTCTATGTTTTTATATTTGTTTTCATGAAATTTTCAAGTATGGATACCCAAGTCCATATTTTTGAAGTCAAATAATGAAATCTCAAGTTTTTAATAAGAAGTTATGATTTTAGTATTCATGTTCTTCATGTTCATGTTCTTCAAGGGAAATCCAGCTTTTCAGGTTTCATTATTCCCTAAGTGTAGTCACCGAGACCCACTCTTGTCCAACGTTTACACCTAGGACAAGCATTGCATTTCACCTAGGCCTACTTAGCATGATCACTTGCACCTTGGTATACCTTGCATGCACACCTAGGCCGATTGCAGCACATCTTTGCCGACTACCTTGTAATATCCCAGGCAAGAAGCCCACAACTTGGCCAAGGAGACCACACCTCGGCCATGATCTCTTAAGTTCACCCAGCTAGGTCATTTCGGTCTAGTTCATCTTTGTGCATCCATTCATTGACCTGGTTTGTACTCGGCATGCTTTTCCAACAAGAAAAAAATATTGATTTAACTCTTAGTTGCTCTGTTTTGACTTAGTTTCGGGAAGAAATGCCGAGATATATTTTTCTCATTTGAAACTTGTTTTGAGAGTGTATTGCATAACCATCATTGAGCATCTCTTCTTATCTTCTTGAAGTGCATTTAATGAGATTTGCCATGTGTTTGCAGGTCTTAGATCTTTGTCTTAATCCCTACGTTCGAGGAGCCATTGTGAGTGGTATTTTTAATAAAGTTATGTCATAATATTTTGATAAAAACTTTACGTTGTTTTGGAAAGTATTTGATAAAGCATGAATGATTATCCTTTAGTTTTTGTATCAAGTATTATGTTGGTTTTGATGACATTCTTGAGAAGTCCTTGTATGCTAGGAGACTTTAAAATAACTAGTACATTTGTTTGAGATATCTCCTTTGCCACCAATAGGTGGGCTTGTCGAATCGATTCTGGATTGGTTATTCATTTGTTTTGTCAATAAATGCTCATCCTTTGTATTACATAGATGTTTGTAAACATCATTGGAAATTTTGAAAGCCTTTAATTGAGAACTTGGTTCATCCTTTGATTTGTTACAAGTTATGATATTTATTGTTTTGATAAAGTCTTGGATATCATTCATTCAAAACTTTGTTACTTATATTATTCACTAAGTTTTCAGCTCACCACTCTCACTTATATATATGTAGGTAATGAACAAGAAGACGATGTCGTCTAAGACTTTGTTGGAAGATGTTTTGTTTCATGTTTTGTATCATTTTGAAAATTATGCTTCTTAGCTTTGTAGATCATTTACTTTTGTATGTTTTGGCTTGAGAAGCCTTTTGATTAAGATGTAATATCAAGTTTATTTTATTTGTGTCCAACTTGTAAGACCATATTAATATGAATGTCATTTCATTTAATTTATGTATAGCTCTTATGGGCTAGTTAGATTTAAATTTATCACTTCCGCACATTTATGTTCCATATTTTTACTCTGTATGTGTGAATCTTTGTAAGTTGGCTTTCGGTAATCTTAGATTATTAGTCATCGTGACATCATTTTGTTGGGAGCAAGTTAGATTTAAATTTATTACTTCCGCACATTTATGTTCCATATTTTTACTCTGTATGTGTGAATCTTTGTAAGTTGGCTTTCGGTAATCTAAGATTATTAGTCATCATGACATCATTTTGTTGGGAGCGGAATGGGGTCGTGATAGAAAGCATATTCACGCAAAGTTATCCATGTTCCAAAAGGAAATAAATGCAGCCTTGTGCAAATTTTTATAAAATTCATTGGAATGGAAACTATTCTTTATACACTTATTGTAATAAGCTTAATGTTAAAATAATGAAGTGATAAAATAATCATAAGAAATAAAAGATTTCTTGCTCACATTTATGATGTCTGATAATCTTGAATTGATTGGCTACTTAGATTCATACTTTGGAGGATGCATTGATAGTAGAAAATTCACTTTAACTATTTGTTCTTATTAAGTGAAGAAGAAATATCATTAAAAGTGTGAAACGAATAATAAAAAGTATCTCTTATGAAAATTGAATTTGTATTGTGCTTTGAGACCACAATTCATTATTGCGAAACTTAGTCTCAGGATTTGGAATTGTCGACTTTCTTATCAAGTTGTTGAGAATTTATTGTGATTATTTCACAATTATTTTATTTTCTCATAATGACAAATATTCTAATTATGTTAAACACATAGAATTGAAAATATTTTGTTGTTAACAAAAAGCTTCAGAAACAGAAGTGTCAATAAAACATGTAAGTACACAACTTTTAAGTACAAATCAATTGATGAAAGGATTATAGTTAAAGACAATTAAGAAACTGCCAATTGAATAGGTCTTGAATGTAATCCATAACAGTTGTTTATGTTTTTATAGACTGCTTTATGATTAATTGTGTTATTTGACAATTTGATATCTCATTAACTGTATTTCTGATGTATTTTTTTGTTATGAAATGAGTACGTACATTTATGAGAATGAATGAATGATGTAATATCCCAAAAATATAACAACAAACCACCTCATGATTTTCAATGGAAAAGCAGCAAATTATATATAATTAACCTTTCATCGATACTTTGTTACCATACAAAAGATGACATACATATATACATTCATAAATTCTAGATTTTGAATCTATAGTATATGACATGTGTAAATGAATTGGAATAAAAGGAAAAATAGATAAATTTATGTCCTAATGGCTACATCTTTCCAAGTTAATGTTTGAGTACAACAAAAGTAAGTTAAACTTAATAAATAGAAAGCCCAAAGCTTGTATAAAAATAATTACACAAAAGAAACAAAAAGAAGTTCAAGGCTCCAAGTCCTTCAAAGTTACGTCATTGGTGGAGGCATATCATCAGCACCTGAAAGTTATTTTTCACATAAGGTGAGCTAAAGCCCAGTAAAGATACTTGAACACAACGTATGGAGCTTAACAAAGTCATATGGTGAATGCAATGCATGCCATTTTGCCAAAACATTACGCTTTCTCTTTCAAAACAATGCAATGCCTCAGCTATATGTATATCAATTCATAAAACAATACTTTTTAAATCAGAAACCAGGGTAGTGGATATAAAACGCTTGGAATCTGTAACGCCCCAAAATAATTCAACATGAACTACCCATAAATAATCAACATTTACCCAGCAATAACAATAATCTGCCCATCTTTACATAATTACTAATGAGTCTTTACTAAAGATTTACATGCGGGTATACATTCATCAATACAAACATATGAATCTATAGCATGTAAAGCATCCATTCTCAAAACAATACAATGCCCTTAAGGGCTTACATCTTCCAAGGCATAAGCCTGGTCACACAAAAATGGTTCTGCAACCCATACACATTAGCCCTTGGCTCAAAAAGAATTACACAAAATAAAAGAGCTATGTACTCTTCTCAAAAACATCCACACTCTCAGTTCGGCGGGATCACCACATCTTTACCTGCACCAAATCCCATAGGGGTGAGCACAAAACCCAGTAGAGAATTCTTACAAAGTATGTATAGTTATGCATACTCTTTAAAATGATGCAATTGTTAATGCCATGCCATGCATCCTTATAAGAAAGTCCATTTCATGCACATTTTAAAGTTTCTATCTTTCCAACAATTGTTTACAATCCCAACATTTTTACCCAATTTTCCAATCATTAATCGATAAGGCGGTAAATACGACACTGGTAATCCCTAGGCTGGTATCTGCAAGTAGACTCTACGAGTACTACCAAATTGTCATTTTTACCGGTATTAACCGGAAGGCTCGACACCTATCCGCGCGATTTTCTGGTCTTTCACCAAGGACACTCAGGCCAACTTATCAAATTCAACTACACCCCCTATTCGAACTTACCACGTATTTACCCCATTCACATTTCCATAATTCTCATTACAGTATGATCCTTCTCAAAATAAATGTCTTTCCAAAACATGTCAAGGTGCACAATAATAATGATAAATTGAAATATGATGCAATAATTACTATTCTCAAAATATCTCTACAACAATATCAATCAATCATTTTTCATTTCTTCCCTTCAAGTCATTTCACAAAATGCCCATGTGCCCACCATTTCTCACAACAACAATTTACAACAAATAATCCCTTCAAGGCAAACTATGTTCTCAATACAATTCCAAGACCTTATGAAGTTTCATAATCATGATACAAAATCATTCATCACTCCCAACAACACACACTTTCAACATTTTTAACAACTTTGCAATAATATCGTCTCACCCATCATCATAATACAAAATAGTAAAGAGTTTCACAAATATTTCCATGTGTTTTCAAAATCCCCCAATTTCTAAGGTTTTTCCTCAAGATAATCACTTTTCCCTTTTTGCTTGTGGAAACCCTCATCAAAACATTTATCATAGATCAACAAGATGAACCCCTCAAGATAATTTACCTTTTTAAAGTTTAGAACTAAGTCTTCTTTTGAAGGAAATCTCTACATTTTCAAAACCACAAGATTGAAATTTTTAAATCTAATAGAAACTCTTAAAACATCATCAAATGGCAAAACTATATATATAACTCAAGAATAACCCTACCTCCAAGTAGAAGCCCAAGGAGAAAGGCTAGACAAAGGTGAAGCTTCCAAAAATGGCAAAATCCCACTTCTTCTTGGATGGAAATGAAGATCTTGAAGAGCTCAATTTTTTGTCTAAGGAAGGAGGGCGAGAAGACCACTAGATCTAGGTCAAATGTAGAGGGAGGGGGTATTTCTAGAGAAAGAGGCTCTCAACTTAGGGTTTGGATAAAAAGAGATGAAAAGGTTATATAAAAAGTTACTTTTACGATCTGATATACGCAAATCCCGCTCGATCGTAGGGCTTCACGCTCGAGCGTCAGACACAGCGACAACAACCCGCTTGAGTGCAAAGAGAACTGCTCGAGCGTGGATTTCACCCGCCCAGTATTTCACAGATTGCAGATAGCCGCTCAAGCGCCAGAAGGGCTGCTCGAGCTCAGACACGCTCGAGCGTAAGTAACGCCGCTCAAGCGTGAAAAACACTCTTGCAGCACTTTTGCAGAGACACTCGATACTGAAAGGTTGGAAGCTCCGCTCGAGCGCAAGAAGTCTCGCTCAAACGGAAGGCCAAAAATTTGGGCAACAATATTCTAAACCAAAAGGCAACCAACCTGTTCTAAACATGCTCAAGTCATTCCAAAACTCAAATTCAAGAGGTACAAGGAAGAAAGACATAACCAGCAGCATCAAACAACAAGATTTGGATCCAGAATACCATGACAGTCGGGTAGAGACCCGGGGTCGCCATAACCTCCCCACCATAGGAAATTTCATCCTTGAAATATAAACAAAACACCAAACCAAGGTTGTAGCAATTTTAATCAATTCAACCACATTCTCAAGTCGTAACATTTATGTTCAATTATCATTTATCGTTCCTTTCATCATCATTTCATCAAAACCATATGTGCTTATACAAGACATATAAAATAAGGCATCCATAGCAAAACATCATGCCTACACAACCTCATACTCAATTTAATAATACATACAACAACATTTGATCATCAATTTAACACATTTTCCATTCACCATAAGGAAACATTACCATTTAAATCAAATCAACTAAACATGCTCAAATAAATCCAGATACTTGGAGAGGACTTCCGCCTCCCTTTCCCAAGTTGCTTCCTCGACCCCATGATGCCTCCACAACACCTTCACTAATGGTATGGTCTTACCCCGCAACACTTGCCCTCGGGTATCTTGAATTTGAACCGGTCGCTCCTCATAAGAGGCGTCCTTATCTACCTCCAAATCAACCCAATCTAACACATGAGAAGGGTCGGGCTCATATTTCCTAAGCATTGACACGTGAAACACATTGTGAACCCCCGAAAGTTGTGGCGGTAAGGCTAACCGGTAGGCCACTTCTCCGATTCTCTCCAATATCTTGAAAGGTCCAATGAACCTCGGAGACAACTTCCCGCTCTTGCCAAACCTCATTAAACCTCTCCTAGGAGAGATCTTAAGAAACACGTGATCACCCACATCAAAGGATAAGGGTCGTCTCCTCTTATCAGCGTAACTCTTTTGTCGACTTTGGGCTGTGGCTAATCTCTTCCGAATGAGAGCAACTTTTTCGGTAGTCTCCCTAACAATCTCCGGTCCCAACAACGGTGCATCACCTACCTCGGCCCAACAAACGGGTGACCTACACGGTCGGCCATACAAGGCCTCAAACGGTGCCATCTCAATGCTAGCCTGATAACTATTGTTATAGGCGAATTCAATCAATGGTAAATATCTCTCTCAAGACCCCTTGGAATCTAGGACACAAGCTCTAAGCATGTCCTTTAAAATTTGAATGGTGCGTTCCAACTGCCCATCGGTTTAAGGGTGATAAGCGGTGCTAAAGGTTAACTTGGTTCCCAAT